TGCCAAGTTTTTTGATCTAATGAGTTGGTAATGAAACATTTTTTTCTCTGCTAGGTTTATTTGATGCTATAAGAAAAGGGTGCATAATTCAAGGCATAAATCATTAATGGATCATCTCTTTCACACATTGCCAACCTCCAACCATTTCAGCCATGAATTTATAATGATATAATCCTTAAAAGCATTGCTGTTTCAATGTGAATCAGGCACTGTAGAGAGAGAACCATCACTCCAGCAGTTTGAGAGGACCAAAACTACTAGTAGTCATTGAAGTATTTTAGTAGTCATTGAAGTATTTTTAAGATACATATTCATTTTAAATAAAGATATGTTTACATTAATTTATTTTCAAACTTTAGCTAGTGAATTTAAAGTTTTATGAAGTTATCTTGAGGGTTGATTTAGCATGTGTATAAAAGATATCCTCGGTGATGTGGAAAAGCATGTTGTGTGGAAACTGAGAACCTGGCAAATTTACATAATAATAATAATACTTTTGATACATTTGATACAATAATACATTTGATATAGTGCTTTTCACGTCTTCTCGACGTCTCAAAGCGCTTACATGACCATGAATTACAAATACAACACCACCAACTTGCATTCATATAGTGCTCTTCACATGGGGTAGCATCCCAGAGCGCTTCACAGGATGAAGTCTGACCCCAAGCCAGGGGAGAGGGAAAGCACGATCAAAAAAAAAAGGCTTTTAGGTGGGATTTGAAGGTGGGGAGGGAGGAGGGAAGGTGGAGGGATTGGGGAAGAAAGTTCCAGAGTTTCAGTGAGTAGTGGCTGAAGGAACGTCCACTGATGGTGGAGCAGAGAGGACGAGGGACGAACAGAAGGCCAGAGCTAGCCGAGCGGTGGCAGCGGGTGGTGGAGTGGGGAGTATGCAAATCAGATAGGTAAGTATGAGAGCTTGAAGGGATTTGAAAATGAGTGACAGGATTTTGAAGTCGATCCATTTGGTAAGTGGGAGCCAGTGGAGCCTGGCAAGGACTGATGTGATGGGGTATGGAGTTTTGTGCGGGTGAGAATGCGGGCATCAGAGTTTTGAATTAGTTGAATTTTGTGTATTGTGGAGCTGGGGAGACCAGTGAGGAGGGCATTGGAATAGTCCAGCCGGGAAGTGATGAAGGCATGGATGAGGGTTTCAGCTGCTTTTGTTGTGAAACTTATTAAACTTATTAAACAAATAAATTATCCTGTTAAAATAAACCGAAGGAACAAAATCAGTTTTATAAACTTGTGTAACCATGTTAAAAAATTACTTTCTATGTTTTATTACTTCTGTTGTAGATCAAGTGTTGACATGACAAAACGTTACTGAACACATGGTTGTTCATGCAATGCAGAGATCCACAGATTCACCAATAATAGAGGAAGTAAGGCTCCTTCAAGACAATATTGATTCAAGACAATAAAAGCAGTATGTGAACAAAATAGATCTGCAACATTTCTTTAGGATGCTGGGTTAGCTGATCTCAACCAAGGAAGGGGGAGACTTGATAAAATTCACCTAAATATCATTGTGTTGCAAGAGGGAAAGGTACATGGCAGCCTGGTAGCTATCGAGTGGTCCTTGCTGGGAAGTGTGCGTGTAAATGCTGGGTGAGAACAGGGTAGATTGTGATGCCCCTGCAATAGACATATAACCTAATAACACTCACTATCTATGTTCATGTATGAAGTACGATTTGCTGAATGAGTTACTGGAGGGTTGGCTGTAATTCCAGTCACAACCTTCAGGGGAAAGATACAGGAAGTATTGAATAATAAGAGGAACTGGATATTGCTTGGCAGCCGAATGTTACAAATATAACGGGATAAACGTAATAAAACCATGAAACACTGTGAAAGCAATTCAGAACTCTGTCCACAATATTGTCTTTTTTGTCCAATATCACAATGGTACAGCAACCACAAAGTGAAACAGTTTATTTGTTCAGAGTAACAGAGGAGCAGTGGGGCTGACAGACACAAGGGTGTAAAACCAGCAGAACCTATTTAAACCTGATCTGTGTGGACTGTTGTTTTCTATCGGCTACAATTATCCCCCGTAGACTTAAAATGGCTGTACAGTCTTAAAATGTTTCCACTTCGTACAAAATTACACGTGTCTTAAAGTGGTCATTTTGCTGATAATTTATGCTTTCATTGGAACCTCTTTGATGCAAGTTGCAGTTTCCCATGTTGAATGTCCAGCTGTATTAACCCTGAACTCCTTTATTGTCTGTTTGGATTACTTGTATTAACATCACAATTAAACACATCATATATTGGAGCACGCCCTCGGCCATTTGCTCAATCGTATGCAAATTGTTTGACAGAATTATTGGGGAGGGATTGAGAGCTTGGAGACGAATTCTGCCTCAAGGCAAAGCAAAGTGACCCCCTCCACTAATAATTTAGTCATTAACTATTGGTGACTTGTTTTGTGCGAGAGTTTGCCAGTGTGCATTTTCCTAACGAGAGTGGCGTTTCAGCTATAACGATTTTTTTTTATTCCTAAATTTAGGTGAGTCTGCTGATTTTATTTCAAACTTTATTTATTACATTACGCTCGACTAGCAGGGACACGATTTGACTAGTGTCGTGTCCCCTCACGTGAAATTGTTAAACAAAAATGTATTTTAATATTTATATCAATATAGTTTGCACGCCTCATTGTATCTTTTCTATTCTGATGATCACTTCAGTTTCAAGAGCAGAGAGGAGCAAAAGTGTAGCAAATAATATATAAAGTCCAGATTCATTAATTCACCTACAAAAATACAGTCACTACACGTTACAGTGAATCCTGTGAAGCTCTTTGAGACGTCCTCCGGACATCAAAGGTACTATATGAAATACAAACATTAGTTATTATTGTTGCTCGCTCCTGGTACTCAGTAACTGGTCTCGATTTTGCTTTTTCGAAATCTTTAAATCCAGAAATAACAAACGGACTCGTCAATTTAAACATTTAATGATACAGAAATAGTGAGAATATATCCAGTAAAAAAAACACATTTATGCCAGATTTCAGGAAGACTGAAATGAATTTGTCAGATTTTCTATGAAACTCTAAACATTGTAACATAATGTGAGGTAGACAGTGAAAGACATCTCTCGACCTTCGGTACAGAGAGAAATAAACAATGATACTTCAAAACAATGATAACGTTGGGGATGTAAGACAATGCGTGATTGACGTTTAAAACCCTGTACAACTCAAAATATTATTTTTTTAAAAAATATTAGAAATATTACAAAATTCGAGTGCATACATACAATGATCTATACATTACCTTTTTATACTTAATGTAACTGTTAACTTCTCCAACTTTGCACATTAAAGTCTTCTTTAAATACACAAATATGTACAGCACAATTTATGAACAGCAGTGCATTAAAGCTAATGTGCATTTTTTTTATATACATGTGGTCCTGGGTCCAGTCTCTCCCCACGTTCCTAATTGTGGGATCGTGCAATCCAGGAATTTACAGTCTGCAACGCTGTCCCTGGGGGGGGTGGTGGGGTACCAAGTAAATGGTAGTTCAATCGGGCAAAACGTTACTAAATGGATAGAAGTGCACTTTCATCCGGATTCAACAGAGCTTGTAAGGTCGTGGGTAAAGCAAGCCTCTCCAAATGTTTTCCCATTGCGATCGCCAGCGGAAGGTAACTATTTGTACAAGAGTTTGTCTGCTTCCAACTCAAATTTGTAAATACTGTATTGTCTATATCTGGTGAAACAACATCTATCCCCATTGTACTTGTTCTCCCCCTTATCAAGGACAGTAAAATGCAATCTGGCTATCCTGTGTGTGTGTGTGTGTGTGTTTTTTTCTCTCTCTTTTTTCCTTCCTTCGCAGTTTTTAATCACACCAGGCCTCTTAAATTCCAACATAGGTGTAATTACAATCTGCAACAATTCCTTTTTGGCCGTCGGCTCTTTCTGGCTGGTAATCTTGCCGGAATGTCGGAAGAAAAAGGAATAGCCCTCTTTAAACAAGAAACCTCGGGGACCGGAGCCATTCTCTCCTTTCATTAGCTCGTTGTGTGTGTGTGTGTGTGTGTGAGTGAGTGTGTGAGTGTGAGCGTTTGGTAAATTACCTTCACCTTTAAAAAGGCAATCGAGATCAACAGATAATTGCGGGGAAAAGGGAATAGAAACTTTCTTCGAGCTTTGCCTTCTGCTCGCAGGTCCCATTACTCAGCCCTTGAAAGGAGCTCAGTCCTATTGCCTTCCCTTAATCTATATTGGTTAAGTTTGAACAGGTGCCATTCTGTGTGCATTGTGGTAATCATTGGAGACTGACCGAACATAATCTCCCCCGCGCCCCCCACCCGCCCTTTCTACCTCAACCCCACTTTAAACACGACGGCCACGCCGTGTAGATGGCGATTGCAGTTCAGCGCACTTCATTCCTGCTTCACACACACACCACACACACACACATACACACAAGACACTCCAATGACTGATGAAGGCGACCCGCCGGGGATGCCTGTGGCTGGCAATGTGCGAAATGGGATTAAACGGGTTTAACATATTGTTGACTGAAGAATAAATGGTGGGAAATCCTATCTGAACTGACTCCGCGGGTATCACTGCATCTCCCCTACATCGATGGATACGTTCGTTGAATGTGTACGAATGGCTTTGTTTCTCATTGTAATCAATAAACCTGTCTCCCAACTTTCTCTTCAACCACAAACAGGATCATGAACACTTCCCCGCACGCTCACATCACACACATTTGGAAGCATGTTTCTGCCCAGTGTGAATGTGCACCTGGAGGCACAAAGACGTTTCCCCCCTTTTGTTTTGCAATATGACACTTTATACAATGTGGTAATATCTGGTCTTATAGGGGTTAGATGTCGCTTTACACGTAAATTGTAGATGTAGGGTAGTGATTTAAAATATCGAAGTCATATCAGCTAAATTACTGGTACACGAATAACTTTCAGAGAACCATATAGAATTGTGTGTCTCTCTCTCTCTCTCTCTCTCTCTTCCTCTGTCTCCATCTCATCCGCTCTCTTCCTCTGTTTGTTACGCATAGGGACCAATGTGTAACTCAGCTATTTGAATATATTCTAAATAGCATATGCCCCCCTCCCCCTTGAGCCGACCAGCCCTCTAAGTGTCCTCAAATTTGCATCTGATAGTCTCACAACTTCTGAAACGAAGGACAATTCGCTACCTGCACCCACACGACTCCACCACCATATCCTCGTATTGTTTATACACAACGTTGTTGCCTGCGTCGATGTACAAGATGCTGATGGGACTCAATTTGGTGGGCACACAGCAACTGGGAGGAGTGGAGTTAGGGTCCATGGAATTCATAAGGGTCTGGATAATAGCGTGGTTTGTAGGTTCTAAGTGGGATCTGAGAGGGAAGTCGCACACTCCCTCACAATGATAGGCCTCATAATCCAGGGGAGCTATTATCCAGTCATCCCAACCCAACTCTTTGAAGTTCACGTGTAGAGGCTTTTTACTGCAGCGAGACTTGGACTTCTTCCCATGTCTCTTCCCATGGCGATTTGAGAAAGCGGTCCTTCTCTTCCTCCTAGCTTTGAACTGAAGCTTGTCTTCCTCGTCAGCGCCTTCCGACGACTTGATCTTTTCGTTCATCTCGCTGAAGAGATTTTCTCTTTTCCGCGTTTTGGTGAAGACCACCAGAAGGGCCCTTTCTTGAGGTTCCCTCCCCTTGCGGCCAAACCCCAGGCGCCTCAGGTCAATGTCATGTTCGCTTTTGCCCGATGTCCCCCTGAACTCAAAGCACAGCTGGGCGGGGTGCAAACGTCTTAAAGTCTCCCAGACATCAAAAACTTCCCATCTGTGTCTGCTTGAATCGTAGATATCAAGAGTTCGAGACTGCAATAGTTTGGGTGATTGTCCCTCGGTCCGGCAGGAGTACAATTTGATGTGGTACAGACCTGTCAATGTCTTGTGAAACTGCCCAGGCGTTTTCCTCAGTATCCTCAGTTCAGCTCCTACTAATTCCTCTTTATCCGATAAAGTTGCCACATCAAACAAATATTTTTGTTTTCTTAAGTATGAATGCAAGAGATCATCTGCAAGACACAAAGTACAATTGATTAGGGTCTCCCCGCCACAAGGTCGCAAAATGAAGTCATACTGTTTGAAAATGGGCATTCACTGAGTCAAGAAATATCATTGTTTCTGTAGCTGCTTTGTTCATACAGTGTATGTTGACTATTAAACCCACTCAAGTGGCCCTGTCTCACAGCTCTGTCGCAATTAGCAGCTTGTATCTCTAAGGAGAAAACAACTTTGTGGAACTGAGTCATTTAAAATTGTGTTTAAGAACCTTTGTTTTTCCACAGGTTTAGTATGAGCAATATCTCCTTACCGTATCAGCTGTGAGCTACTCACTGAGCTGCACGTTGAGCTCAACAAAAGAAGCTTTTACCAAGAACTCTACTGAATCCTGTTGCTAAGAGTCGAAACAACCATGACGTTTGACTACACATAAATATACTCAAGATCACTCAGCATGTCAACAAATACCGTAGTAGTTTCTTGCGTTAAAATAACTGCAGCAAATAACTAAATTTAATGCACTTAAGGAGTTCCCAGTTATTTTCAGACGCACACACTTTTTATAAGCTTAGATCCGTTTTAGTTCTTCTGTATTCCTGTAAAACGACACTGCTGTGCATCGTGGTGTTCATGCTATATGTTCAACAGACTGTTCTGCAAATTTGGTTTCAATTTGCGGTCGCTTTTTTTACAGAACTATGGCAGGCTATCAGAAGCCACATTGAGACGCATTGAAACCGAAAGAATGTACCCGGGACTTGTCCCAAGGACCCAATTGAATTTCGACGTGGCAACTCGCCATAGAATGGAATGGACAGTAATTAAAATACTGTCTTGATTTAAAACCGCAAAGTTAAAGTTGCAGTTTAATCTCTTGGAACTCTGGACTGTAAATTATAACCAATTGCAATCCAATATATCAACATGCACTTGTGCATTCAACAAAAATACTGCTTATTTTTTTACTACATTATCAGCGCCCTATTCTGGTGGGTAACTTTACAGACTGAATTTCTTATGTGTCGCATCTTTATTCATATTTCCAAAACACGTAAAGTCGAGGGGCTGCTTGTATACATTAAATAGGAAACCATACCTCTAAACAATGGCTGGTTGTGCCCATAACAGAAAACTGAATACAGTACAATCCTTCCCAACATAGATAATCCGCCCAGTGATCAATAAAACACTTTATTTGCATATTAGTAGTGCACACACGTGCTTTAAACCATCTACATTAAAAATTCAACTAGGGTTTTAAAAGTGCCCGAAATCCCAAGTAGTAAACAGACAAGTAATAGTTTCAGTTATAAGGGCTGAAGATATTTCGCTCACATTGGATTTCAAACTAAAGGTCAGAATAAGAACAAATATTCGCAAATCATTTGGAAAGACTACAAATGCCTTCAGTGTACATTAAACAGCCCGAATTCCTATAGAAATCGCTGCAACGTCATTTTACGAGTCTGAATTATCAAGTAATCTCATGTAAACTGCGTGGGGGATGATCTAGTGTTTTTTTCGGTGTGCAATAATCAAAGCATTTTGGGCTTGCAGTTACATTGGGCAAATGAGGAGAAATCCTTTTCGGATAGGATGAAAAAATGAAACCGTCACTATCCAAACTGATTTTGGAAATTAGTTTATTCGTATTTAGAATCATTGAATATCGCCCCCCACGAGAATGTGAAGTCAGTCTTTCTTGTTTCAAGTACAGCATAATTACCACCGATTCGTTGTGAGAAACGTGACCCCTATCCAGTGATTACTGAGTATAGACAGGAGAATCACACGCAGAAACAGTTGTGTATAATGCTGCGAGGCTTTAAAATCTAAGCAGCATAATCGGCTTCTTTCAACTTTGTGTTATTTAAAATTATTTATTTCAAATCAATAATCTGAGAAGATATGCCTTTTTGAATTCAATAAAGATCATTAAGTAATTCTGCCAACCAAGACACCGAACCCAGCTGATAGAGGTATTCGTTATAAAGGCACTTATAATACATTTTATTACAAAGGCACTTACAATAAATTGTAAAATTAAATAAGTAATAAATAATTATTAATAGCGCACGTGCGTGTCTTATTAGAGAACTGCCTGCAATCACTCTTTTCCAGAAAAGAAAAAAATGCAACAAATGTACCACACAGGCAAAATTTTGCCATTGTTATCAGATTTGAAGCACGAACTATTCTGAGCTCATGGCTCTTCTCTGAATGTCTTTAAATGTGTACAACTGAACTGGGAGTTGCTTTAACCTCTTTGCTCACCAGCCCCGCCTGTTCACGCATGAGCTATCATATCTAATTGTGAATGTGCAATTGTTTAACATTCAAAGGACCTGTCACAGAGAAACGGTGTAATAATGTACTTTTGTGATATTAAATTGTATTAAAGGGCTTGTGGGTAAGAGCAAGCGGATAGGATTCACATAGACATCTCTATCGGGGGAGCGAGCACCAGCTCAGACACTGCAGGCCGAGGCGGCTTCTGTAATGCTATGTCTATGGTGACCCAGACACCGATTGCTTACCCTGTGAGATCTGAAGATCAGTATTGTTGTAAACATAAATCTATGTAATTTAAAATCTACTTCGAAAGTCCAAATACATATGACTACATGTCATAAGTACACCTGAAGCAACTCTGCAGCGATCAACCTTTCTCTTTCCCCCCTACCCCCCACCCCCGCCCTTAAGGTTTAAGGAAGCCTTGAGCATCCATCCCTTAATGGACTTTTGCTTTAATGAACGGCTTGTGCCGGGTGACGTGCTGAGCAAATTCAGGGCAGACCGTGAGTGTGCATACATCACCCAGAGAGACATGCCAAGCTGTCCAGTCCCGGCTCACGCTTTCACTCCATCAGGTATGTCACGCAGCGGAAATAAAATCAAACTGTTTTTTTTTAAAAAATCACCAAAATGCCTTCCTGGACGAAAAGGACGACAAAAAAGACAAGCGTGAGCAGTCATTTGCGGCAGGCAGGCAGGCAAACAGGCAGGCAGGCAGGCAAACAGGCAGGCAAGCAAACAGGCAGGCAGACAGGCAAGCAGGCAGGCGTGGGATCCCTCTGAACACAGTCGGTAAGGTTTTACAGCAGGAAAAGTTGTGATAGGATGGATCATTCACACATCGTGCATTAAATGTGATTGTTTTGTAAAAGTCTGCTCCTCTCTCTGTGGTGTATTTTAAGATATGAAGACTCACCATGAACAATAAGGTCTGGTTGTGGCTTTCAGGAAGAGAAGCCCACCTGGCTCCTGAAACCTCACACACACAGACACACAGACACACCCCAGAGTAAGGGACTTTGTCATCAACTTAAACCAGACTTGTTTCAAACTGTCTGGAACTCAGGAAAATACTCGGATGAGAAAAGATGGTCTTATATGGTATGAAATCTTTCGTGTCGCTATTGGGAGACACAATCATTTAAAAACATTCATTTGAGAGTAACATGTTGGGATAAATTAGCTCTTAAGCAACCAAACATATCAATAAACATGTTCAGGTGAAATTTGAGAAAATTGAGAGAAAGTTTCTGTACTTGCGAAAGATTACTGAATGGATTGCATTAACGTAGGTTTAACACTAAAAAAATGTTCAGACTTTAAGTGGAGCTGACACAAGTGTGTTTCTTAAAATATATATATCTCCTTTCTGGAAGAGAATGCCGTTTCAAAAATGATTTAAAAATATATATAACACGTCATGATTCCCACAACATATGCAGACAACTCATTAGATGTTTGCGAAATTATTTTTTTCATGGACCCCACGGAAAATATGGCGACCTGAACCAGACTTTTCTTTATGGAATTAAAGCGTGACGACTCGCTCAGAGCCTGCGACAAGTCTGCAGCCACTTCAGACTTCAGCTCAGTTCGGATCAGTGGGTGTTTTGCACGGTGCGTGCTTCTGGGTTTAATCCTGGTGTGGGCAGGCTAACAAAATGACTCGTATCAAAGGTGCCATATTGCCATTTTATTGCAGATTTACTCCTGTATTTGCTGCCAACCTCTCCACCCGCCCATTACTGCCTTTAATCCCATCGACAAACTTCTAATAGGATGACAAAGCGGCGGAGACAAGTGCTCCATATTCCAGTCTACTGCTCTATCGCGATCTTATCTGCCCGCCTTTTGTCAGGGCTGAAAAACACCGAATTAAAATCCCAAATAAGTCTGCTCAAACATAAATGTCCAAAGTCAGACTCGCGGAAATACCAGTAGAGTTAATTTGCCAAGACTTAACAGTAAGATTTACTCTCCAATCATGGTCAACTGCCTAAAGCTCATTTGATCTGTTCAGTCCAGCAAAAATAATACTGATGGTAAAATGCTCTAACATTCAGAATTGCCCGGATTTTCCCTCTCTAAATGTATCTTTCCTACCTGCACATCATGCTGTATTTATGTCCCATGTCGGTTTAGTTTGGAGGAACACACTTGTGTGCAATGATATAACAGTCCTGATTTTTTTTCTAACGAGATTGGCCCGGGTCGCCTAATGCATTACTGTATATCCAGTACGGAAGTAGACTAATTTAAACCAGAAATCAATTTACACTGTGCCAACATCGATTCTCGTCTCATGCTCTGAGAAACGAATGGTGTTCATGAACATTTTTTGCAAGTCAATAAATTTAGTGAAACATTATTTTAACAAAAAAAACATTGAGCGCGCAGAAACACGGTTCGATTTGTTTTAAAATCAAGGAACTAATTACATGTGTTTTTTTTCGGCTTGTACTATCGTGTTACTAATTTATACCGGATCATCGGAATTTACTTCATGAAGATTACTGTTGCAAACTCGGGACAGTGAATTCTTCCAAACGGATGAAATCCGGACAAATGGATGCAGTTAAAATGATACGTGCTGCTGTCAAGCTAAACACAGCACCGAAAGGAGAACCTTTTATTTTCTTTAAAAGAAATGAAAAGCTCGTTTACAAGCCTTTCGTCGGCATTATATTTCTTCCGTTAACAAAATGCATAAGACTGTAGCTTTTCTACAAAACACACGAACAACATCCATTTAAACCATGTGCATTAAGGATCTTTCTTACCTTGGCTCAACGTTTCTGCTTAATTCTAGGACGCGTTCCTCTGCTTATCCTATTAATGGTTTTGATATCCTTTTTCCCTTCACTTTCCCTGAACACGGTATAATATTAAACTTAGATTGGAACCTTCTGTTAGGGCAGTCACTTTTAAACGTCTGTTCCACATTAGTGTTTTTATATGGGTCTCAAACAAATCGAATACAAGGTCACCAAATAATTAACAGTTTCCAATTCCCTCTTCATCCATTAAAATACTTCCCTGCTTATATTTCATTTCCCTTTCGTCTTAAAGTAAGTAAAGGCAACATCCTCTGCGTTCAGTTATCCCCAGTCCTGTGTAGTTGATAACAAGGAGAGATTAGCTCCTACTCTCAACATACTGCATGGCAAGTTATGAAAAAAAATCCTATTTTATCCACTGTTTTATTTGCCAGTCCCCCGCATGTAATATGTAGCATACCTCACTCATTGTGCTTGTCACGCTGCGAACGAAAATAACTCTGCAAATAAATTTTAAATCCCATTGACAGTTTAAAAAAAAAGTTTTTTCTTCCAAAGAGGTGGATATGATTACCTAAGCAAAATCGTTGCACTTTCTTCGAGAATAAAGCATACTTTAAATACTTTGCATAATACATCCTAACAAGCATACTCTGTGGAGCGAGTCTATTTAATTCTTGTAACAAAGAAGCCGGTGGGAGTTTATGAAGGGTCCCAGCAAGTAAATAAAGCTTTTGTTTGAAACATTATTTCCTCCCACCCTCGCCCTCGCCCCCCTCTCCGTTTTAGGTGCGGTTTGAATCTTAGTAGATCAGTCGCATTTTCTTTAATTCTTTTCCCTAATTGTCATGTTTTACTTTGCGAGCTCTAATGCTAGAGGTCCCGAGGCCAGCGCGCACCATCTGCGTTTTAATGAGTTACTTCATGTGCCAAAAGTAATTTTGCTACATTCAACTAGTTCTTGTCTGATCTTGCGACCGTAACGAACGATGAAATTCACATACTTTCCTAGCCTTGTTTTGTACTGTCTGGGTTAAAAAAAAATGCACCCGAGTCCATTAACAGACTTTGTAAAGGATCCAGCTGATGAAGGGCATCGTTTGGTCAGAACAAAGCGCTGAGTTAAACACTGCTCAGAGTGCGGTTTTATTTTAGCGAGAGGGCCATCTCGGGAAAAAAAAACTGCTCGGTTCTTGGGAGCAGGAGAATTCACATCCAGCAATTAATGCCTCGCAAAGTAGCTATCGCGGAGGGTGGTGCGCAGTAAAAGAAATAAGCACTTCAGAGGAACGGAAGTTCTGTTAGTTTTTGGTGGTGTGCCATTGGCTGGTCCGGTTCATTATGGGAGAACAGACAATATTTGATATGTTGTGACATGAACACTCAATTAGATCATTGAGTTCAAATACTCAAATCACTGTCTTTATGCTAAGCAACCCTCAGAAGGTCCAGCGCAGGGTCACAGCTGTGACACATCAAATCACATCATTGGGGAGACTGGGCTTCTCCTACTCCAGCCACTGCTTCACTTCACAGAACAGGCCTGAGTCGAAAACCTGTCGCCGAGTAGGACCTGAGTGCTGCAGCGAGATCCTTCATTGCACCTCCACTTCATGGACAGTGCTTAAGGTGGTAACTGTGTTGGATGCAGCAGAACATTATCCGATCTCACTAATTAACCCTTTTTTTTGTCAATCCATACATTTCAATAAGCTATGTTACACTTCCATTCGCCCCCCCCCCCCCACCAAACCAAATATAATAAAGATGTTGGGTCAGGACTCTGCCTTGCTGTGCGGTACTTTAACAATATTTCTTCTGTTGGCCCATTGATCCATGTGATTTACAAACGTCAGTCAGTGGTGAGATGCCCAGTTAGTTTAGCAAATAACGTCGTCGCCGCTCTGCTAAATGCACCACAAGATCAGCCCAAAGCAAAAACATTCCGGCGTTCGGCTGATTTATTTATTGTTTTATTTTTAATTCAGACGGTGTGTTCGAAAACAAACTCAACAACTCTAATAAAACTAACTTTCTTAAATGCCCTCTTCCTCCCCCCCCCCTCCACCCCCCCATCCCGCCTCAAATAACGTATTCGTGAAGTTTTCCACTCGAGGTTTAAAACTAACGCTATCGAGCTCCAGAACATGAATAAGTGTTTTAATTCATGCAGCATTTCATACCAGATCGCTTACCGTTACTTGCGTTACTGTGCTCTTTTTGTCTTGGTTTGGGGGCAGATCAGGTAAACTCACCACACAGGTAACTAACTAACTGGCTTCAGTTAAGCGGAGAAGCGACAAGATGCCAATGGAACTGCAGGCAAACCCGCACCTCGAATCGCTCGGGCCATGTGTGTGTGTGTGTGTGTGCTTCAAGGCGGGACTCGAAAAAGATCAACGTGAAATAAATTAAGGTGATTTACATCATTCCTTTTCAACAGCTAATCAATCCCGCTGATTTAGATGAAATCTGTGAGTTTATATGCGGTTTGTTGCCGTTTAGCGCTGCAAAAACAGACAGACTGTTGCATAACAGGTTCTATTTTACGGATAAGAGGACAAGCGAACAATTTACAACCGTCATTAAGACCTAACATCAATTAGTGTGTTATTAGTCACAAGTAAATGTCAATTTGCGCCTAAAAACATTTCTTGACTGAAGTAGATGTGATGGGAATATATATTTTTTGACATATTCGAACAATGTGCGGTTGACTATAAACCGATTACAACAGCACTCGCTATTCATAAGCTCATCATTAAATCTCTCCAGTAATAACTACATTTAGTAAATATTGCCTTTAATAACACTGATCTCCTTTAAATCTTAATACCTGCTTGATCGTTTCCTTTAGTAATTTTTGGTAACTTGCTGTGTGCTCTCCCTTTCATTGCATAAAATAAGCAAAGCTTTCAGTGTGAAGTCAAGAAAGCTCTTTAATATCAAAGTGAGCTTTGCAGACCCGCAGCATGAAAAGACCAGATTTCAACCCAAATAATGTTTTTTAAATGTTTTGCCTGAACAGTTTCATAATCTGGTTATTAATATTGGAAAAGTATTACAACTGGTACAATGCGTGTGGGGATAGCAGGTAATAGCGACAAGAGAACTAACTGATAAGGGTCCAGTAAATGTTTATGTTCAATTCCTTTAGGGCTCTGCTTGTCTTAAGGTTGCCTTAAAGCAAATATTCCCCCTTTTTAAGGATGCGACAAGTTGGCGCCCTGTTAAATTTCCATCATAGATAGAAAAAGGGAAGACTATGGGGGAATCAGATGTGTTTGAAAGGGTGCAATATGCATCAAATAACCTCTATTATTCCTGAACTATTGCTTAGAACTCCATTGCTTTCATACATTTATATTTACAGACTAAAAGCAGATCCACTGGGGGCTGTGACGTTTCCTGATCAGCCAAGAAAAAGACTCGCCGCCTGATGTTTACAAGGTAGCAACACGTTACAAGAACAAATTGCCTAAGGAAGGAATGTTTGTCCTTTGGGCTCATTTAAAAGAAAAAGGACATATTTTCGATCTGAAATTGCATTAAGCAAAAGGACGGGGGGGGGGGGGGGGGGGGGGACGGGACGGGGGGGTGGGTTGGGGGGGTGATACGCGAAGCAATATTAAAACCGTAACAACACAAGGAAGGGATTCTGCCGGGGACCAACCTTCTGCTCTGTCCACGAAACTTGTGATCGTGTTGGCAGACTTTGTTGCGCTGAACAGACTGGCGTTTAGTCCAAGTTTCTCGGCTGCAGAGTAAGTCCTGTATATTGACATCATGTACTCGTGTGGGGTCACGGCGGCGACTCGCCGGTGCCTACCGGGCCGCGGAGAGGACTCCTTAATCCGGATCTGGCGGTGCGCTCTGCCATCAGTGTGCAGCCCGAGTCCGGCGTTGGCTGTCCCGGCGCCGGCGTTAGCCCGAGAAGCAGCCGCAGGAGGAGTGAGCGCTGCCGCCTGGACGCACTGTAAATCCCACCAGCAGCAGCAGCAGCAGGTGACTGAGCAGAGGAAGAGAGTGGCGGCTCGGAACGGATCCATCCCGAATGAGTCCCGAATGGAATTTAAACCGCGCCGCTCGGGCACGTATGGCTTAAGCGAAAACGCAGCGCTGATTGAAACCTGTCCCCCCGGCACCCACTGCCCCTGACGCCGCGCACCGCCGTGCCCGCCCACTCACGCACACCAAACGCACGCCCTGCTCATTGGCCGAGGGCCGGGGCCAGGACACACACTGGCCCCGTCCGCCTGCGGGGGAGTGAGGTGCTCAGGACGGGGGCTCACTCCCCAAAGAGGAAGCCATCAGGATCGCCCCGATGTGCAGCCCAATCCGCGTCGGCTTCATTGGCCACCGAGCGCTCCAGCACTGAGCCAAGTCCACTTCCAATTGGTGCAGTTGGGGGGAGGGCAGAGGCGAGTTGAGGGTAATTCAAGGGCAGTGAGTGTGGTCGAGGGGTTGTGCGATGAGTGTACAGAGTCCACACTTATTCACGAACCGTACGTATGTATGTATCGAAGTATTTTATACGTTGAGTCGAAATAAAAGTACTTGCCAGTTGTTTGGTTCACAAGGAGCTACGATAAAGCCGGCGATGAAAAAGCTGGAAGCGTTTTTATATTAGCAATTCACGCAAAGGTCTTATATATATATACCTTATATCATATATATGTAGACAAAATTGATCAATTGCGCATTGGGTAAATAACACAAATTAAGCTGAAGATAGATTAGACTGGAAACATGGTACCCTCCCTGTGCACTTATAGGTGGTGTTTGTGTGTGTGTGTGTGTGTTTCCACAAAAGTGCTAGTTTTTTCCCCACCTAAAACAATTATGCTATAATATGTTGTTTTAAGTGTTACATTTAAGCGCGCTATCACAATGCGGTGTCTATAATTTGGAGGCGAATACCAAAACGTGTTCTTGGTTTGTTGCCCGGGTCAGCGCCAGAAATCACACTGAATATGAACACCAACACGTGTAACTACAAATTCTTGGAAATATAACTTGACTGCGGTTTCTAATAGTGGGAATGACTTGTTGCAAAAGGAACGCAGTTGGCAGTCAGAATTTTTTTTTAAAAAAAAGTGTTGTCTGTTCTTTTCAAAATTGTAGGTGTTTCCCGGAGTATAATTGAACTTTCATCATTCATATGCATCACATTGTTGAACTAAATAATGTGTCATAAGAGTAATCGGCAAGGCAGCGTTATTTGCTGCTGTAAGCAGGTTTGCACACATGGATTATTCACTTTGATTAAGAGAATTATTCGTTCTCTTTTTCTTATCCTGTGTACTCCAGTACCCGAATAATACAGTTTAATTACGCGTGTGATGGTAAGAGTTGACAGTGTCTAAGATTAAGCGATTCCTCCATCTGGTGGTTGTATTAAGCAGCAGTATAGCAGGCAATGTGTAACTATTGCAGTTAAAATTGGAAGACGTTTGCCCGATGGTGCACACAACTGAACCTCCAGAAATAATGCAAACAAGGTTTATGTTATTAATGTGCAAATTTGTTACCACACCTATTTTGTTTGTGATACCGGGACAGTTAGTCATAGTAGGATCGCAAATACTTATAACTTAATTCTTGGACAATATTCTGCCTTGATCTTGCAGTAATGAAATGGGTTGGATATGCATGATGCCGCTTAACAAACCCAGCAAACAGTAAGTTGTTAAACAGAGAGCTGGGGCTAAGTGGTTGAAAATGCGGTCTATCTGAGAAGTTAAATAATTGTCCATTCTCTAGCGTGTTCCCCTTGTGAAATGAAATACACCAATGCCTAAACCGCAGCCTCCCTTTGCTGTTATTCAATTCGGATAGTCTTATGGAATACCCTCCAATAGATTTTATTCATATTTTTATTTGAAACCAAATGGCTGAATTTTCATTTGGGGGAAATGAACCGCTTGTCAACCTTTCCAAAATACCTTTTAAATACAATAGTTGGAAATAATATTTTACTTATGTAATGGATGAAATGCACATGTTACGATGCAAATGAACGAAAGATGCATTTATTCAATGAGAAACGCTAACTATTATCTGCAAGAAAGCGATGACGAATGTTCTCACGATCCACCCAAGGGAGAAGTCTGGATACCATTCACTGTCGACGTCCTCAGATTAAAAAAAACGGCACCAAACCTATCACGTTTTTTTTTTGGAACATAATAATTCAGTATAAATGAGAGCTGAACAGTATCTCTTTCTTGTCGGAGTTATGCTTTCATTTCATGTTTCCAAACCAAATCGAACGACTGAACTTCAATTCACCAGAATAGGTTGTATTGGCTCAGTAAGTATATCATATATAAGTATAACTCAAGTGTTTCAGCTGCACTGCTGTTTATCCATTTTTTGTGGCAATACAAATCTTAAAATAAATAATAATAAAATAGTTTATTATTTGTTGTCAGACAAGCTTTCCAATTCTGAAATATTGTTCTGTAAATTGTAGCACAATAGTTTAGTTGGATAGTCTATCAAATAGATGAACAATGAACATTTCTGGCTGCGTTATTTCTATACTATTTAGCGACACACCGAACAGCTCCAACTCCAATGGAAATATTACGGAAATCGAGCCCATGGTATTTCTATCTTCACAGAAGATATTTGAACGTTGATGATTGTGTCTCCATCGTGACAATAAATAAATCCGACCTTCGAAAGCAGATTCTTCCCGAAATGGGACAGTGGTGGTCACTAGTGTTGCTACATCTTTACTGTAAAAGTATGTGGGACCTCAAAAGAATATGGAGGAGTTACTCGTAAGCCATATGTTGGCTTTATGCGTTGCATCTTTGCAGTTAGACTTTTGAAACGTCCCTGGTGGTCTGCTCACAACCTTTAACATTGACTTCCACGTTTAGCAATGGCAGTCAGCTGATCTGAGTCCTGCATAATATCTAAGTATCTGCATAGACGTGTAGCATTCCTGACTTTATAAATGCAAGTTGTTGTTTTTGTTATGCCTTACTATGTCAGTTTTGTAAATATTCAGAGTATAACTATGTCCACTCACATTGCTTGAAACATTGCACCTATATTAAAGCATTCATGTCCTGTATAACGAATGGTATTTCATAAAGCTTCAGTATACTGTACACACTGGTATAATATAGCACAATGCCTTCTCTGGGTAATGTAAAGCGGCAGCTTGGAGTTTTTGTAACAATAACAATCCTTGCATTTGATATAGACTGCTTGTACTGGGTTGAGTGCCAGTAATGTGCAGTGGAGCTCTGTACAAGGACACGTATATGTAGGTTTTCACCCACAAAATATACAGTCCACTTTGCAATATTCTGTGAAGCGCTTTGAGACGTCTCAACGATGTGATAAGGTGCTACATCAAATGCACGGATTATTTTTCATTGTTATATGCACTATGCTTATGAACTGACATCTCATTCCCCGTTAGTTTTAATAAAACGTCAACTGAATTGTGAGTTCTGGATGAAATTTAGGAAGTTAGCTTTGACCCGCCTACAGCCTTTCTACTAAATCAGTGTGAGACGCCTCTCCGAGGTGGTCTGGCAATTATTTTCTGGGAGAGGCTCACAAAACTTCAGTTATACAACTTCTGCAAGTTCACGCACTGTGACACTAAAACCGTATTGACCCAGTACAAACTGACCCAGTATCACCAGTCCATAGGGCATCAGAAAGACACAAGCAGATTATAATCTGACTCCATTGCCGGTCTCTGTGTGGGGGTCCTCAGACATCCGTTGGTGGAATAGTCTCGGTGCCATATAATGTTAATGGGGTTACAGGGGGAAGGCTGCGGCGCATTAATCCAGTTATAAAACTCCAAGTGACCACCTCATATGCATCGTCATCCAAAAGTAACTTAAAACAACAAAGCGGCTGGCAGGTGCTTTATCAAACTATCAGTCGGAAATGTTTCACCACAGATGGGGAATAGCCTCTATGGCTATTAATAGATTAATATCCCCCCCACCCCCACACACACACACACACACGCCAACGGTACGGAAACCAGAATGAACACCCACCCTCATAAAATCTAAACCTTTATGAAATAGTTTGCATACAAAACACTGATGCTAACCTTGAAATTAAATTCAGCACAAACCAAACCCAGTGCCCTCGCGGGCCTCCCCAGTCGTTGTAAAGTAAAATCGTTGCTGGGGGAGACTTGGCTACACAATAAATCGACACTGCGAGAGGGGTGCATGTGTTAGAGGGTAGACGAATCCCCCAGCATCCCCCCACTCCCCCCCTCCACCCCAGAGGAAAAAAACTCTCAAGGGATATTTTTATTTTACAAAGTAAATGAGGATATTGTCTCCGGGGGGAGGGATATTGTGTCGCTTAGGGACACCAGAATTTCAGGACCGCAAACTTCCGACGTTTGGGAAACTCATATGACACACCGCTCTGGGGCTTTCGGTATGCTTTCCTGCTCTCTTTCGGGTAGGTTTATAGAGCAGTTGTCTCAAAATGCTATCACGGTTGGCACTGTTGATTTCTCAAACGGTAAGTAACGCACCTAATATAATCATATGGTTCCAGAACTGAAGATCCAAGGCTCTGAATCCCTCACAGTGTCGTGAAGACATCCAGCCAAATATTTGTTGTTTCTGTTGATTCAAATGGTTGTCAGTCTGCTGCTTTGTAATAATAATAATAATAATCCTTGAATTTGATATAGCGCTGTTCACGTCTCCTGGACGTCGCAAAGCGCTTCACAGAATATGCTATCAAGTGAATTGACTGTATATTTATATATAATATATATTATGTATATAATAGTGTC